GTGAAGAGGAGCATCAGAACCGACAAACGTAAATATGTGGAAGATTTAGCAACGACGGCGGAAAAGGCTGCAAGAGAAGGAAACATGAGACAACTGTATGACACGACAAAGAAACTCTCTGGAAATCGCCGCAAACCAGAACGACCAGTGAAAAGCAAGGAAGGCGAGGTAATCACCAACATTGAAGAGCAACAAAACAGGTGGGTAGAACACTTCAAAGAACTCTTGAATCGACCAGCTCCACTGAACCCACCCAACATCGAAGCAGCACCCACGGACCTCCCAATCAATGTTGGCCCACCAACAATTGAAGAAATCAGCATGGCCATCAGACAAATCAAGAGTGGCAAAGCAGCAGGACCGGACAACATTCCAGCAGAGGCACTAAAAGCAGACGTAGCGGCAACTGCAAGGATACTCCACATTCTCTTCAATAAGATTTGGGATGAGGAACAAGTACCAAAAGACTGGAAAGAAGGACTTCTGATCAAAATACCGAAGAAAGGCGATCTCAGCAAGTGTGATAACTACAGGGGCATCACTCTTCTCTCAATACCGGGAAAAGTCTTCAACAGGGTATTGTTAAACAGGATGAAGGACTGCGTAGACGCCCAACTTCGTGACCAACAGGCAGGATTCCGTAAGGATAGATCGTGTACAGACCAAATCGCAACTCTACGGATCATTGTGGAACAATCAATTGAATGGAATTCATCACTCTACATCAACTTCATTGACTACGAAAAGGCATTTGATAGCGTGGACAGAACAACACTATGGAAACTTCTTCGACACTACGGCGTGCCTCAGAAGATAGTCAATATCATACAGAATTCATATGATGGATTACACTGCAAAATCGTGCATGGAGGACAGTTGACAAAGTCGTTCGAAGTGAAGACCGGTGTTAGGCAAGGTTGCTTACTCTCACCCTTTCTCTTTCTCCTGGTGATCGACTGGATCATGAAGACGTCAACGTCTGAAGGGAAGCACGGGATACAATGGACATCTAGGATGCAGTTGGACGATCTAGACTTCGCAGATGATCTGGCCCTTCTATCCCAAACGCAACAACAAATGCAGGAGAAGACGAACAGTGTGGCAGCAGTAGGTCTCAATATACACAAAGGGAAAAGCAGGATTCTCCGATACAACACAGAATGCACCAATCCAATCACAATTGACGGAGAAGATTTGGAAGATGTAAAAACCTTTACATATTTGGGCAGCATCATTGATGAACAGGGTGGATCTGATGCAGATGTGAAGGCGCGGATCGGCAAAGCAAGAGCAGCATATTTACAACTGAGGAACATCTGGAACTCAAAGCAACTGTCAACCAACACCAAGGTCAGGATTTTCAATACAAATGTCAAGACAGTTCTACTGTATGGGGCAGAAACCTGGAGAACTACGAAAGCCATCATCCAGAAAATACAGGTGTTTATTAACAGTTGTCTACGCAAAATACTTCAGATCCGTTGGCCGGACACTATTAGCAACAACGTACTGTGGGAGAGAACAAACCAGATCCCAGCGGAGGAAGAAATCAGGAAGAAGCGCTGGAAGTGGATAGGACACACATTGAGGAAAGCACCCAACTGCGTCACAAGACAAGCCCTCACATGGAATCCTCAAGGCCAAAGGAAAAGAGGAAGACCAAAGAACACATTACACCGGGAAATGGAAATAGACATGAGAAAAATGAACAAGAATTGGATGGAACTAGAAAAGAAGGCCCAGGACAGAGTGGGTTGGAGAATGCTGGTCGGCGGCCTATGCTCCATTAGTAGTAACAGGCGTAAGTAAGTAAGTATCTGTGAATTAAATGCAAACCCCTTTTCTCCATAAAACAATTCAGTCACTGCTGATAAAAGTGTTTACTGAAAACGGATAGGTTTAACTTACCATCAACGTTGATTTACTGTACTATAATCTGGAAATTATGTACTAAGATCAGATCACTGGTACAGTCAGTCAGTTACAACGTAGGACTAGGCTCATACATGTATCAGCCTAAGTTGCCATACAGCATTAGCACAGCAAGATGAACACTGGATTCATAGGAGTGGTTAAGTCAATGGTGGTAATATATAAAAGAAAGATTGCATATAAGGATATAGTACAGGAAGAAAGAATTAGTTCATAGAAAGAAAGATATGAAGTGATTTTAATCTCTTAGTGTAAGGGAAGATAGAGAGTGTATACACCCACGCCATTGTGATCGATTCTGAGCCATGTCACCAAGAGTCTCCAACCATTGGTTACGATAGTCACGCGGACCCCAAACTAAGTAGTCGAAATCTACCAACATGGCTCAGACTACAAGTTAGTGTCTTCAAGCACTGATGCCACGTTTTGGTTTGGCCGCCCCTAACTTTCTTCCAACCACCTCCAACACCAGTTAGCATTGTGCGCCGTGGTAATCGGTGTTCATGCATACGTAACATGTCGCCTAACCATCTCAGTCGATGAAGGTTCACAACCTCATCAACTGATTTACCATCATTCCCTAATACCCTGCGTCTAACCTCACTATTACTTACCCGGTGATCCCAGCAGATGCCAGAAATATTTCTAAGGCATCTGTGGTCAAATACTAGTAGCTTACGAGTATCTTCTACTCTTAATAGAATGGGACAAAAATGGAGAAAGTGAACAGCCTTGACGGACACCACTTGACGTTGCAAAATCAGATGACAGTTCGCCATAAGCTTTGACTCGACTAGTAGTGTTCGAGTAAAAGGCCTTTACAAGGTTTATGTACTTCTGAGGTGCGCCTTTCAATGACAGACACTGCCACAGAATCTCGCGGTCTACGGAGTCAAATGCTGCTTTCAAGTCAAGAAAGACCACCATTGACTAATATAGTGTCTAAAATATTAGCTTCAATAATACTTCGACGCCCAACTAAAGCTCGTGAAGAGCAGACTAGAGAAAACCAGGCTGGTTTTTGACCTGGATATGGTTGTGTAGCCAGATATTCACACTACGTCAAGTTCTAGAACACAGACACACGTTCAGACGCCCCACAATCGTAGTATTTCTCGACCTTAAGGCGGCATTCGACTCTGTTGATCGTGAGGTTCTATGGCAGTGTTTGTCACTGAAATGGGTACCAAAGAAGTACATTAACCTTGTAAAGGTTCTCTACTCGAACACAACTGGTAGAGTGAGGGCTTATGGCGAACTGTCATCAGAATTGATTACCTCAAGTGGTGTTCGTCAGGGTTGTCCACTCTCTCCATTCTTGTTTAACTTTATCGTAGACGTGCTTTTAGGGATAATTCCATATACTGGATGCCAGACAAAGGATTGATAATTAGGAAACTTTTCTTGTTATTCACAAGACAATAAACCACCCATTATAATTTATTTCCTGAAAACTGTTGAAGTAATCAAAGAAGTGAAATACGAGCTTTGAACAGAGCCATTGGTTGATAGAAAATTTGTGGTTGGTGAGATCTGATATAGTGAATGCCTAGAAAATGTATGCCAATCTGTTGACAGAGGTTTTGGTTATATCATAATAATAAGCATACCACACTTGCATTTCATAAATTATAACGAACATTTGCAGTTCAGGGTCACTGTTTTCAAAACTCTAGGCTGATAATATATTTTGCTTGCTTAGACTAATCGTCTCTTCTGAAAACCTAGGATGAGAGGTAGTCTCTGAATTCCCTGATGGAAGCATAACTTCTATTGGTAATATTTTGGCTGGTCGATATATACTGAAATCTCAAGCCAACTATTGGAAGGGCATGAAATAAGCACCATATCTAGGGTTTGTGAAAATAGGGTTTCCGAATGGAGTCCTTAAAATCTTGGGAACCATTGGTTAGTGGTCCTAAATGTTTTCGGTCACAACAGGGAACATGTTCTTTTCTATCGCCTTTTCTTCGCCATATTAAATTACATAATTGTTCCCCGACTATCAGTGCTTTCCTACATGATCACTTTTATGATTCTCTGTGTGAAGCTATGGCAAATCAAACTAGTGGGTTTTCGAGTTAGGTCGTATCTTTTCGTGATTATTAAGGCATTTGTAAGTGATGTTGGACTACGGATAATACACCATTAATTTGGAATATATGAGCAAAAGTCGGACTGAATTACAAGATCAATTTACAGATGACTTTCCTGGATGCTTTGATATCATCATCACACTTCTGCCTTAGCTTCAGAATGGATTCACAGAGTGAATGTACCAATTAACTCGTGGGTATCCTATTCTTTTATGTTACGCAACAGAAAAGGCAAAAAATAGAGACAACATTAGTATTTCTGTTACTACAGCTATTCTATTCCATAACAAAACAGCAAACAATAGTAATATGGCTCAATGAATACGACATTTATTCTTCCAGGTGTTATTACTATTGCAAACACCACTATAATACAACTACATTTTACAGAATGGGATGGTTCAGTAAATCAGGTATATGAATCGCAATTACTCCAACCCATTAAAAACACTAATGATTTATACTGAGCTTTCACTATTATTCAATAAGCTTGTTTTAACCACCATTTACTTGTGTAGCTTATCTTAACATCGTGTAAAAATTACGTATGAATTACACGTATGTCCAAAGTTAATAACAGATCTTGGGTTTTTGTAGCACTTAACTATTTTGGCATTTCCAAGTCTGAATACAATTTTTGATATGAGTAATGCACTAGATAGTGTTTATTTTATTGTACCATAACAGTAGCAAAGATAATGGCGAATATACCTATGATGTGTTGGTTAAAAGCCACAGTTTATGTGCGAAATGAAACTCATATTATCACTATACAGCATGACAATAAAATATCCTAACGAACAAAAACATAACTCTTTCACAGTAGAAAGTTACTAATATGGTTATTTAAAAAAATTTACTATAGTGGTGATTTGTACAAATAAGTTGTCAAGTAAGCAAGTGAAAATTGTTTTACAAAAATATCCTCATAAATCGTCAAAAAGGAAAAGAATTACGTAGAAGTTCAAGTAATTATGTACATTTGATAATTTTCAATAAATTTTGACGAAGATAACCATCCGTTTTACGTGACAAAGGCAATACTAATTTGGATAATTGATTTAAAATTCCTGAACCGGTTAGTGAATTTCCACAATTTGCTTTAGCCCATGTATCTGGAAATTCGACTGTCTGACACAAAATCTCTCCAGACTGTTCATTTGAACTAGTATTTGTTGATAAATGCATAAGCAAATCACTGTCGAAATATGTACGGCTAACTCCAGTCCTTCGTAAGACATCAACACCGTTGGCACGTCCCCTCAATGAAATCTATGATTAACAAATTTATGAAATAAAGATTTATCCAATTGATAACCTGAATATCTTAGAGTATGACAACGACGAGTAACTTGCGTATGAAAAAAAATGTTATGTTAACAGTTTATAGAAGTAGTGAAATCTTAATGTGGTCAACAATTACGTGTTTAGATCAACAGAATGTCAATTAAAGACAAATTTAAAAAGGTAAAATATACTAGTAAACATGGAAACTATGATAACTCTTAATTTTGAAAAAGAAAAACAAGTTTATCGAAAATACACTTACTATGTCTTGATGTCCTATACCAGCGATGAAAGTTCCAACACACTGAACATAATCTTGTTCATCCGATTTAGTGGCATCTAAGGATAATTTTTGTCCAGCTGATTCAATTAATTCTTGCCATGGCGTATACAAACTGTCGTTTGATTTCTCTGAATTTAATAAATCTGAATGAGCCTGATCAGTTGTATTTTCTGAATATTCTTCTCCGAGCTCAATGGGATCGGCTAAGTCATTAATATCCCAATTTTCTGGACCTGTCATATGTTGTCTAATTTGAGTGGATAAAGCTTCTAAAGAGTCTAGATTAATATTATTATTTAATCTATTTTGATAAGTGCTTTCATCTTTCTCAACTTTCTCAGCAGCCAAATGATTTGAATTTGCATTATGACTACTATTATTGTTATCATTACTGTTATAGGTACCATCACGATTATTTTTGACTGACAATTCAGCTTTACATGTTAATTCATTATTACAACCCAGCGAGGTGTCTGACGACAAAGTATTGATCATAGAAGGAGGGATTATCAAGTGCAATTCAGTATCCGAAACATCTTCACACTTTAATCCATCCAAAAGTTCACAAAGAGCGTGAGATGTCTGTAGTTTTCGATCTTTGTCCTTAGGTAGAAAACAAAGAGGATGAGAAGGAGAACTCGAGGGATGATGAGCAGACTCAGTACAAACTGGAATGCTATTGGTTGACTTCCAACTTGGACTACAAGAATCATGAACTTCATTTGTGCTTCGTCGATCACGTTTTGGCAACAGAGGTGGGTGTATGTCTGACTGGGATTTCAGTAACTACGTTCAAAAGGTAAGTTACGAGTAATGTATATATGATAACATGAGCATGAAAGGCAACGAAGTCATATTGTATATATTAGTTATGTAAAGAAAGAATAAAAATTTTGTTAAACACTTATCGGATTAGTGCGTAGACGATTTCAAGGAGAGTATAGATAAACTAGCTATAAATAGGTTAACTATTTACTTTTTAAATCTACAAACGTATTTAATAGCTTGGAATATATGTTTAGTGAAACACAACCATAGTATACAGTATATGAGAGGCATCAAAAAGAATAGAAAACCAACAGATACTTCAAGCACAAATTCCAGTAGGTCGTCAATGACATTTGGATATCGTTGTACGCCAATGGATGACATGTCATACGATTGTTGATCAAGTTCGTTTAGTCTTACACTTAGAACATACAAAAAAAGAATATCACAAAGATTATATGGTTGACTGTTTCCATGAGCATTTATTTGGGGATTGGGAATAAAAGTCTTGGGTTTTACGACATACATTGATAAGTGAATTTCTAGTTGAATTTCTTGCGGAATTATGAGGACATATGATTTTACTAGTCTGAAAAATGTTCTTTTTATATCATGAAGACTAGATAAATGTTTAACAGCAACAAAATTGGAGCTGTGAGGTTTAAACATTTAGTCGTTATGTATTGAGAAGTAGGTTTTAATTCAGTCCCACAAATATCAGTTCGGAAATTTGAGTAGTCTGTTAAGCCAGCACAATAAAAAACAAGTCATTGTCAAATACATATACGTAAACTTGGTTAGAGATCAATTCTACTTAATGTGATTAAATTTAAGTTCATGGTGATTTAGTCTTCCGAGTTGACGCGTCGTGCCTTGCTGTAAGACTAAATTATAAAGTTCTAAGCTGACACTAGTAAATAAGAATATTGGCAAATAAATTCTGATGATTATTTAGTATAGATGACTGGACTATTTAGTCGTTGATGTAGTGATAATGAAAATTATCAAGTTCATCTGAAATGAACAACAAATTTCTCATCAACTTCAAGAGAAACAAATACACTTGTTACAAAACACGTTATATTTCAAAACAGTGATTGATCTGAGCGGAATGAACACTGGATTCTGTATACGGGTGCCATTGGAAAGTCTGAATGATAGATACGTAAAATGAACAAAACAAAAGTACGAATACTGGTTTTTTCAAAGGCATGAGACATCTTATCTAATACGTATATATTACGTATTATATAGTTGAGAGTAATAACTAATAAACGCTGAGCATTCAGACAAAAGATGATCAGACATTCCGGTAAATGTGAAAGATGTAGACCGAATCGAGTAAAATTGAGCTTTTATTGCTTAGATTCTTTTACTCTGCCAGTTAGAAAGTTAAATAAACTAACGATTAGAAACGTTAGTATTTCTAGAGAAATCACGAAAGTAGAACATAATACTAACATAACTGGTAAAAACAATTACATTAAACTATTTTTTTGGTGTTACTAAGATGTACTTTCAATGTGTAATTAACACTAGATGATACGAACTGCATGCAAAAAGATGGAATAGTCGTGCGAATTCTTCTAGTTCTGTCATTAGTAGATTGTTCTATGACCAATCTGGAAAATGGTCTGTGAATTTTAACCACATCGAAGATATATTGGAAATATTTTTATTATTTGTGATTTTACAGATATTCATTACCTACCATGTAGCAACAAAATTTACCTTTGAGTTAAAAAATGGATTAAACTTCCACTTCTTTGGTGTTGAATTAACAAGAAAACCCGATGAGAAAACCTATATTTACCAATGATCTAGCAGACAAACTCTCAAATATGACCACTTCGATATACATTAGTCACTCCAGCCGTTTCTGTACAGCCAGGTACATCAGTCGTTTAATGTGCATTCTAAACGGGACACATGAACACCGTAAAATATGGTTGAAAAGAAAGTAATATGGGGTGCAATAATAGAATACCTTGTCAAAATCGACTGTCCAATTAAAGTAGCCTCAAATCCTCCCTGCTGACCTCTTAGTCTAATCCAATTTACCCCTGTTTCCAAGATCTTTCTAACCACATTTCACTTTTAAAGTTACTTATAATCGATTTTATATTGTAATTCTGACTTAACTTTTAATTGTTGACAATAAGAATAAAATTTGTACTTTTAGTTTCTTGTAGCATTATTTCATTAATGATAACTATAAGTAGCGAACATCTTACAGATTATCATGAAAAAAATTTATTACGTCGAAATAAAAAAATGTCATGGCTAATATTAATCTTTTGGCAAGACAAATTGACGTTGGGTTTAATTTTACCAGAAAACTTTGATTCCAAAACAAACCTTTTGCTAACAGATATAACTACCAAACATTGTATGCCAGTTATGCAGTCGAAATATGGATTAAATAGTTATAAAAGAATGATTCACTATGCCACAATACGATGATCATCTTTAACTACAGTGACTGTAGATACTTACGTTATTAACTTGTTGACGTGTTGAATGATGTTGAGGTTCATAATTCTCACGAAGTTGTTTTGAGATTTTAGGTGACGGTGATAAAGATTCAATAGTTTCACGTCGATGACTTTCACTTCCGTGTCTTTTTGTGCTATTAGAATCACGTATGTGACGACGTTCATAATTTTTTGAATAACTAATCTCATGTAAATCAGGATTGTCATCCGGATTATGATATCTGGGTTTTGCCTTAGCGAGATAAGTCTTTGAGTGAATATGTTGTTTATCACCTGCGCGGTATGCTGATGTTCGTCTAGATTCATATCTTTCCGAGCCACTACAACTTCTTTCACGGTGAGGTCCATGATGTCTTGAGTGAGACCTATAACTTGGGGATAAATGGTGACGCTGTGTTGATTGACGATACCCATAACTTAAAGTAGCTGAATTATATCGCTTTGACTTTGAAGGTGAACTGACAGATGATTGCGTTCTTTTTACTGAATTATACTTTTCTTCAGGATTAGTTCCATGACCGCTATCTGTGGCCCGTGTTGGAAGGTCAGGTTTGTGATCATGATGTAAATGCATGGATGGCGATCTACTGTTCTGCTCATACCTCTGCCTGTGTAACTTTTCATGAAAACGTGGGTCATGGACGCGGTGCATTTCATGTTTTCCGGAGCGTGTCGGAGATTGGCTGAAAGAAGATGAACGTGAAATATGTGAAGAACATCTAGAGGCGGATGAAGGTGTCCCTGGAACGGGTTCATAAGTATAAGAACGTGAAACAACTTCAAAGCCTTGTTCTTTTACTGAAGTTGGAGCATCTTGGCGACAACTGTCCCCGCAAACGATGGACTTGGTAGAACGATGAGTTATCCCATCCACCATTGACATCTTTGGCGAACCATGAGGTTTGTCGCGATGCTTGTGTTTATGGACAGATCCTTTGACAACTGATTGACCAACAGTTACCCCAGAGTTCGCTTCATCATGTTTGCTACGCTTTTCATGCCTTGTTTCACCTTTCGAATGTTTTCGCTTTTTTTTCACATGTTCGCGCTTGTTTTTGCCGAGTGTAATTTCTTTTTCAAGCCCTTCTTTATCTGCACTATTCGGTTGGTTAACATCCGAAGAGAGCTTAGGACTGATAACGACTGAGGATTCGTTTCTATTCTTTGCATGTTTTGTTTTCAGAGTTTTCTCTTTACCATCTGAGTGAGTAGTTTGAGAACTTCTTTTTGAATGGTGTTTGGATTTTTTCGTTACTTCCTTAAGTAAAGTACAATCGACATGTGATTCAGCATCTGCTGGTTTACAGGTCCCTCGTATGGGTGTTTGGTCTTCTGGACAGATAAGTTCCGCTTGTCGGGGCATTTTAGCTTTATTTGGTATCTACAAAATGATAAGAGACAATATACACATTAAATCATTGACATTTTCCGAAACTTGTTGTAAATTAACAGTTGACACACATTATGCAGATAAAAATTCACTGCTTACTTACAGAGTACACTAGATATCACTGATGTTATTCACACTCATAACTAAAGCAGTAGTAAACTTAGAAGACTATATAGTGACAGAAAACTAACTAATTTCGGCCAAGTAACAGAATATTATCCAAATTCCAAGAGACCTACTTTCAAGAAGGATATACATGCCTAATCAGGTAATAAAGTGGGAGGTTCGAAAACCGCTCCGTAGACTTCGGTTTCAGTCATGTACAACGTAGAACCTGAAAAACGTGTGTCTGTTCAGATTTCCACATCATATTAACACGGAGAGATAAAATTATCATGACAAATTCCTAAGTAGCAGAAGTGGTAACAGTATTGGCTTGAGGAACCGGGTAGTATTACTAGCCCAAACACGTAATGTTGCTCAAAGCCAAGTACACGAATCTTCACATAGTAAAAGCGAGTTATTAAAACAGCTATTCCAAGCAAATATAAAATCGGGTAATACAAAAGCCAATAACTTGATTATTCTTCAATAAAAAACCTGACTTTCATAGATTAACCGTGAGTTCTGACGCCTGCTGTAACAAAAGGAAGGAAGTGAGATACAATCGAAATTTACGAGTTGATGCTGAATAGGTATATTTCCAAAACACATAAATTCTATGCGCAAAACCAAAATCAGATGGAGTAAGTTTCTATCAAGTCAGTCAGTCAGCTACAACGTAGGATTAGGCACATATGTGCATCGGTCCAAGTTGCCATACAGCATTAGCACAGCAAGATGAACACTGGATTCATAGGAGTGGTTAAGTCAATGGTGGTAATATATAAAAGAAAGATTGCATATAAGGATATAGTACAGGAAGAAAGAATTAGTTCATAGAAAGAAAGATATGAAGTGATTTTAATCTCTTAGTGTAAGGGAAGATAGAGAGTGTATACACCCACGCCATTGTGATCGATTCTGAGCCATGTCACCAAGAGTCTCCAACCATTGGTTACGATAGTCACGCGGACCCCAAACAAGTAGTCGAAATCTACCAACATGGCTCAGACTACAAGTTAGTGTCTTCAAGCACTGATGCCACGTTTTGGTTTGGCCGCCCCTAACTTTCTTCCAACCACCTCCAACACCAGTTAGCATTGTGCGCCGTGGTAATCGGTGTTCATGCATACGTAACATGTCGCCTAACCATCTCAGTCGATGAAGGTTCACAACCTCATCAACTGATTTACCATCATTCCCTAATACCCTGCGTCTAACCTCACTATTACTTACCCGGTGATCCCAGCAGATGCAGAAATATTTCTAAGGCATCTGTGGTCAAATACTAGTAGCTTACGAGTATCTTCTACTCTTAATAGAATGGGACAAAAATGGAGAAAGTGAACAGCCTTGACGGACACCACTTGACGTTGCAAAATCAGATGACAGTTCGCCATAAGCTTTGACTCGACTAGTAGTGTTCGAGTAAAAGGCCTTTACAAGGTTTATGTACTTCTGAGGTGCGCCTTTCAATGACAGACACTGCCACAGAATCTCGCGGTCTACGGAGTCAAATGCTGCTTTCAAGTCAAGAAAGACCACCATTGACTAATATAGTGTCTAAAATATTAGCTTCAATAATACTTCGACGCCCAACTAAAGCTCGTGAAGAGCAGACTAGAGAAAACCAGGCTGGTTTTTGACCTGGATATGGTTGTGTAGCCAGATATTCACACTACGTCAAGTTCTAGAACACAGACACACGTTCAGACGCCCCACAATCGTAGTATTTCTCGACCTTAAGGCGGCATTCGACTCTGTTGATCGTGAGGTTCTATGGCAGTGTTTGTCACTGAAATGGGTACCAAAGAAGTACATTAACCTTGTAAAGGTTCTCTACTCGAACACAACTGGTAGAGTGAGGGCTTATGGCGAACTGTCATCAGAATTGGTTACCTCAAGTGGTGTTCTTCAGGGTTGTCCACTCTCTCCATTCTTGTTTAACTTTATCGTAGACGTGCTTTTAGGGATAACACTCTTCATCTAAATTTCCAGGGGTTGAACTTCTACCAGGAAATTCACTTGTTGACTTGGAATATGCTGATGACATAGTTTTATTTGGTGAAGACGCTGACAAAATGCAGAGTCTTCTGACCACTCTAAAAAACAATGCAAGTATGTTCCGGATGCGATTCTCCCTCTCGAAATGTAAAATGTTGCTTCAGGATTGGGTTGCATCGACACCCGAAATTGTTGAGGCTAGTATTTTGGATGCTATATTAGTCAAACTAATCCCTCTATGGTTCTCAAAGGATGATTTTGACCCTCTCTTATATGTCGGGACGACAAGTGATTGTGACCAGTCAGATGGGTTAATGTCCAACTCCCTGATTTTAGCTAAAATATTAATCGATCTAATCACTTGAATTGGACCACCATACTTAAAGACCTCTGGAGCCAATCCATCTGGACCAGCTGACCTTCCTCGTTTCAGATTAACTATAGCCTTTTGAACTTCTGCTAGAGTTGGGGACCTACTTCAATGTTCCATTCACACTGTCTGGAAATGGAGGGTAGTTGTAGAGTAGCTGAAGGCCAGTTGAGTCAGTCAGATACAACGTAGGATTAGGCACATATGTGCATCGGTCTAGGTTGCCATACCGCATCAGCACAACAAGATGAACACTGGATTCATAGGAGTGGTTAAGTCAATGGTGGTAATATATAAAAGAAAGATTGCATATAAGGATATAGTACAGGAAGAAAGAATTAGTTCATAGAAAGAAAGATATGAAGTGATTTTAATCTCTTAGTGTAAGGGAAGATAGAGAGTGTATACACCCACGCCATTGTGATCGATTCTGAGCCATGTCACCAAGAGTCTCCAACCATTGGTTACGATAGTCACGCGGACCCCAACCAAGTAGTCGAAATCTACCAACATGGCTCAGACTACAAGTTAGTGACTTCAAGCACTGATGCCACGTTTTGGTTTGGCCGCCCCTAACTTTCTTCCAACCATCTCCAATACCGGATAGCATTGCACGTCGTGGTAATCGGTGTTCATGCATACGTAACATGTCGCCCAACCATCTCAGTCGATGAAGATTCACAACCTCATCAACTGATTTACCATCATTTCCTAATACCCTGTGTCTAACCTCACTATTACTTACCCGGTGATCCCAGCAGATGCCAGAAATATTTCTAAGGCATCTGTGGTCAAATACTAGTAGCTTACGAGTATCTTCTACTCTTAATAGAATGGGACAAAAATGGAGAAAGTGAACAGCCTTGACGGACACCACTTGACGTTGCAAAATCAGATGACAGTTCGCCATAAGCTTTGACTCGACTAGTAGTGTTCGAGTAAAAGGCCTTTACAAGGTTTATGTACTTCTGAGGTGCGCCTTTCAATGACAGACACTGCCACAGAATCTCGCGGTCTACGGAGTCAAATGCTGCTTTCAAGTCAAGAAAGACCACCATTGACTAATATAGTGTCTAAAATATTAGCTTCAATAATACTTCGACGCCCAACTAAAGCTCGTGAAGAGCAGACTAGAGAAAACCAGGCTGGTTTTTGACCTGGATATGGTTGTGTAGCCAGATATTCACACTACGTCAAGTTCTAGAACACAGACACACGTTCAGACGCCCCACAATCGTAGTATTTCTCGACCTTAAGGCGGCATTCGACTCTGTTGATCGTGAGGTTCTATGGCAGTGTTTGTCACTGAAATGGGTACCAAAGAAGTACATTAACCTTGTAAAGGTTCTCTACTCGAACACAACTGGTAGAGTGAGGGCTTATGGCGAACTGTCATCAGAATTGGTTACCTCAAGTGGTGTTCTTCAGGGTTGTCCACTCTCTCCATTCTTGTTTAACTTTATCGTAGACGTGCTTTTAGGGATAACACTCTTCATCTAAATTTCCAGGGTTGAACTTCTACCAGGAAATTCACTTGTTGACTTGGAATATGCTGATGACATAGTTTTATTTGGTGAAGACGCTGACAAAATGCAGAGTCTTCTGACCACTCTAAAAAACAATGCAAGTATGTTCCGGATGCGATTCTCCCTCTCGAAATGTAAAATGTTGCTTCAGGATTGGGTTGCATCGACACCCGAAATTGTTGAGGCTAGTATTTTGGATGCTATATTAGTCAAACTAATCCCTCTATGGTTCTCAAAGGATGATTTTGACCCTCTCTTATATGTCGGGACGACAAGTGATTGTGACCAGTCAGATGGGTTAATGTCCAACTCCCTGATTTTAGCTAAAATATTAATCGATCTAATCACTTGAATTGGACCACCATACTTAAAGACCTCTGGAGCCAATCCATCTGGACCAGCTGACCTTCCTCGTTTCAGATTAACTATAGCCTTTTGAACTTCTGCTAGAGTTGGGGGACCTACTTCAATGTTCCATTCACACTGTCTGGAAATGGAGGGTAGTTGTAGAGTAGCTGAAGGCCAGTTGAGTCAGTCAGATACAACGTAGGATTAGGCACATATGTGCATCGGTCCAGGTTGCCATACCGCATCAGCACAACAAGATGAACACCGGATTCATAGCAGTGGTTATGTCAAAGGTGGTAATATATAAGAGAAAGATTGCATATAGAGATATAATACAAGAAGAAAGAATTGGTTCGTAGAAAGAAAGATATGAAGCGATTTTAATCTCTTAGTTTAAGGGAAGACAAAGAGTGTATACACCGACGCCATTGTGATCGATTCTGAGCCATGTCACCAAGAGTCTCCAACCATTGGTTACGATAGTCACGCGGACCCCAACCAAGTAGTCTGCATCTACCAACATGGCTCAGACTACAAGTTAGTGACTTCAAGCACTGATGCCACGTTTTGGTTTGGCCGCCCCTAACTTTCTTCCAACCATCTCCAATACCGGATAGCATTGCACGTCGTGGTAATCGGTGTTCAGGCATACGTAACACGTGGCCCAACCATCTCAGTCGATGAAGATTCATAACCTCATCAACTGATTTACCATCATTCCCTAATACCCTGCGTCTAACCTCACTATTACTTACCCGGTGATCCCAGCAGACGCCAGCAATATTTCTAAGGCATCTGTGGTCAAATACTAGTAGCTTACGAGTGTCTTCTACTCTTAATGGCCATGTTTCGCTGCCGTAAATTAAAACAGAACGGACTGCCGCGCAGTATACTCGTCCTTTTATTGATAGACGGATATCTCGCCTTCGCCAAGGTGACGTAAGTTGGCAAAAGCCAAACGAGCTTTTCGAATCCGTGCTGAGATTTCGTCCGATACCAACCCATTAGGGCTGATCAGACTTCCAAGATAAGTGAAGTTGTCAACGCGTTCGACTACTTCACTCCCTATCCTTAGTTCAGGTGTTGACGCAGACCAGTCCTGAAGCAACAACTTGCATTTAGAGGGAGAGAAGCGCATTCCAAACATTCTGGCATTGTTGCTTAGTGCTACCAGAAGACTCTGCATTTTGTCAGCGTCTTCACCAAACAGGACTATGTCATCTGCGTATTCTAAGTCGATAAGTGGACCTCCTGGATGGAGATCAATACCCGAGAACTCAGTCGACGAGAAAGTTATTTCCATCAGTAGATCTATGATGAAGTTAAACAAAAATGGGGAAAGTGGACAGCCTTGACGGACACCACTTGAGGTTGCAAAGTAGATGACAGTTCGCCATAAGCTCTGACTCGACTAGTAGTGTTCGAGTAAAGAG